ACTAAATTACATTAACTAAGAAAAGAAAATGTGCCTGATTATTATGATATCACCTTTTAGTTTCTGTAACATCCTCAATTTTATTGTCCTTATATGAAAAAAAATAGAAATTTTGGTGTAGAATTTCTTGCTCAAGTAAGATAACATTTTTTAAAATAAAACGTTTTGGAGCTTTCTCGCTCCAATGAGAAAGGATAAAGTTGCCTCAATTGTCCTCTCGTTTAGGTGAGAAAGGTTCTCGCTCAAGCAAGATGGAGCTCGCCTAGGCGAGAAGTCGCAGGAAAAACAAAGAGCTCTCTTGATCCATTCTCGCTCAAGCAAGAATACCTCTCACCCAAGAGAGATGCTCCTTGCTCAGGTGAAAATAGTAAAAAATTGAGTAGTTTCATCGTCAGATTTTCTTGTCTAGGAGAGGGTAGAGCTCACTCAAGCAAGAATGCGCTGATCTAGAAGGGTATTTAAGGGATGTCAAAGCTGAAACTTTCATTTTTCTCCTCAAACAACTTTTCCCCTTATTCTCTCTGTTCTCTCAACTTCTCTTCTCAAAGAAGACTATTCCGAATCTTGAATTTCTTCCAGATCTGATCTCAAACGTATATTACATTCAGATCTAAGTAAGTTTCTTAGATCTTAGTTCTCCAACTTCATTCTTGTTTCTCAATTTTCTTTGACATAAAGTTTTATACTTTGTAATACTCAAGGAAACCTTAACCTTTATGATGATATCTTCCATCAGGACGTTGTACCTCTCCCTTGAATCTCTAAGAAAACTCGATATGAAAGACTCATTTCTAAGTAAGAGGAGTTGATTCTAAATCCTAACTCTTTTTTAGTATTTTGGTTTGAAAATACAAGTTTTCCTATTAGAACCCTAGAATCCTAATATTTTGTTAAAATCTCAAGTGTAGGAATAGAGATTTTTGACATGAAAAACCTATGATTATTTTCAAAACTAGCTAAGTACAATTTGTAGCAAAAGCCCCGAAGAGAACCATTTTGAGAAATATTATAATTTTACTAGTGAACATTGTTTAGAAGTAGTTAAGATTGCTATTTGATAATTTTGGAATAATAGACATACTGTGAATATTTGATGATAACAAACTTTAAGATAAATAACTTTATTAATATTGAGAAGGTATGTGTATTGAAATTATTGATGATTTTTTGTGTTAGACTGATATGATACAATAAATATGAATGTTTATATGATGACTAATGTATGTTGAAATTAGTGAATTTGGATTATTGAGAAAAAATGAATAATATGACATGATTGTGAAATTATAAGATGTGTGATTATAATACGTAAGTCATAACTAACTAATAGGTGAGGTTATAATACATATATTGTAATACATCGAGGGGTGTACTTATAATATATGTATTATAATGCATGGATTTATATAAATCATAACTTATGTATTATGATATGTTGATCAATAAAAAGGATATGAAAATGAAATGAGAAATATTGAGAATGAGTATAGATAGTCACATAGATATACTGAGAGTGTGAAAGATGAGACGATTTTGAAAATTTAGGAGAAATAGGGATGGTAGATACTTTTCTTAAAATACACATAATTGATGAAAATAGAGAGTAAAGATACTATAGGTCTCAGACTTATTTCTTGACCTAAATCCCTGGCCAATAATTTTGCTAAAATGGATCAGGTTGGCATATGTTATATCTATGTGTAAAAGCTAACCAGCAATGATCTATACTATGAAGTCTTCAAGGGATCCAGGGACAATAATTATGAAAGTGTAATAGATGTAAAGTAGTATAGAAATTGTGTGATTATAATATATGTATTATAATATATCGATTGATGTTGTTATGATATATATTTTGTAATATATCGACCGGTGTGATTATGACATATCGATTGATATGATATCATACATGTATTATGACATACAAATCAGTGTAGAAATATGATTAACTTAGTATATGTGCTCTACTATGATAATTGTTGATGTGATCTGTGTGTTATTAGTAATAAATATATATTAAAAAGTGTTAGATAATATTTTAAATTTTATTTAAATTATTCTATTAAATAAGAGATTTAATAAGATGAAAAATACTCATATTTACTAATATTTTTTAATTAATAAAAATGAAGAGATAAAAAAGATTGATCTGTTTTAAGATTATACTCGCAAAAGATTGTGAGTAAAAACTGCTCCGTTATGATTAACTTAATTTGAGAAATATAATAGTATTAATTGAATTTTTATTTAGAATTTATATTTATTGATAAACTTTATTATAAGCATTGATTAAAATGTATGTAGAATATTTAGCAATTAGTCGATTTAAATTTAAATTTATATTTAGTCTTAGTTAGAAATTTAATTTATTACAAAATAGTATTATTTATATTCTAATTTTGAATTACATACATGTAATTTGTATAAAATCTTAGTTTTCATCCTAATTATAAATTTAAGTTACAAAAATGTATTTCTATTTTATTAAGAATGAAACTTATATATTGGAAAAAAATTTTAAAATCTATCAACCTTTATCGGCTTGTATTCATATATTTGTAAAATTTTTCTAAAATTATTCAAATTTTTACGAATTTTATTAATTATATTTTTAATAATATATATTATTAAAAAATTATTTAAATTATAAAAAGGATGTTACATTTTTTCAGTTGAAAATTTTTCATATTTAATGAGAATTTTCAAGTTTGTTTTCTAGAGTAGTTGTTCTTGTTTACCAATTACATATACTATATATTTATAGACATTACTCTTATAGTCGTTGATAAGAGCTAAATTGCTTAAAAGTTAAATACTCAACACTTATAATTATTGCTTAACTGTTTTGTTCCTGTTATCAGTCCAAATTAATTCAATATTCTACTTTCATGGTTTCTCTTCGCATTCTAATAATAGTGTTTTCAACTTTTTATTGAAGTACTTGCCCTTTCGATTTTTCTTTTATTAGTTTACATATCTTTGATCTTGTACTGCATTACACTTTTTTTGTTTGTTTTTAACATATTCGTACACTTCTAAGCCTTAACTCAATCTTCCTTTATCACCTATAGATGAACTTTTTTATTCACCCTCAATTTAATCATACTTATACTTTTTCTCAATTATACCAACAGATGGGAGGATTGATTTTCACAGCTTGGGATCATCAATTTTTTGGAGTTCCATTTGGAAATTTAGGGTCCAGATAGAGTTTGAGTCTTTATATACAGGTTTATAATGGTAGATTATTGATTGATCTTAAGAAAAGCAGGTGGGGGCATGGGGATCCCTACTACAATCATCAATTGTAAGGATTCAATAGAGACCATTCTTCATCTACCGAGGGATTGTTCATTAGCTAGAGGCATCTTGTTCATCGTGATCACCTCACTGCCTTTTATGCAAACAGGTTGCAACGCTGGATCGATCAACCTCAATTTGGTGGAGGATTTGGGTATTTTCTCTCAATGAATTTGGACCACTGTATGGGCAAATACTTGTATGATACTTTGAGGAAAATTTTAGCATACCCATTCAGCCTCTTTTGGAGGGCATCATAAAAACTCTTCAAAATATAACTTAGCCAAAGCTCCAAGTTTCTGTTGTGCACAAGAGAATTATTGCACAATTGGCCATTAAATGGCCACCCCCTCAGATGCATTGGTTTTGCCTCATGATCAACATTAATGGAGCTTGCGATCAACAACTTTAGTTGCATCGTCATTAGTAGAGGCTTGATAAGGTATATGTTACCAAAAAAATTACTTGTTATAAGTAATGATACTTGCATAAATCGAAATTATTTGATACCTTTAATAAGAGTATGAAAATTTAAGTTTAGTTGTCAAATGTACGATGAGTGTTAGTAATAGACTTTCAATCTTCCCTAATACATTTTTTGTAATTTTTGCAATTAAATAGAGAATGAGACTCATATTGTTACGTTACTTTTAATAAATCTCAACAAATGATAATATATTAGTATTGCATAGTGTGCTGTTAATATTTCTAAATTAGTTGGCTTGTTATTGTAAATGTATAAAATTTATTAAATATAATTAATGAGTAATAAATATCTAAGGAATGAGTTGTGAGAATTAAAATATTAAAAGACGGATATTAAAATAACTCTCCATATACATTTATATTTATGCTTCTAACGAACTTCTATACTAAGGGTGTAGTTAGATAAGTAATTTAAGTATTAATATTTAATAACATTTTATTACATAATGACTTATAATATAAATTTATCATAAAATTTATTGAGATAGGATAAAAGAATTATTTTAAAAAATTATGAGTGATGAGCTCTCTTCTCGACGATTTCTATGTCATTGAAAAATATATCAATACCACTGCAACTTTTATTTTTTTTGGAATATTTCAACCTCATTATAAGTAGCTTGGTTTTGGTTTACTAACCTTTTCTCATTTTCTAGACCTTTTTTTTTTAAGTTCATGGTATTTTTTTGAAAACTTAGTCATCTTAATAATTGAACGAGTGTTTGAAAATATATTAAAATTACTTACAATTATGAATTTAACGTAAAAATTATAACAATAATATTAAAACAAATACAGATTTATGAATTTCAATTGCAAATCCAAATACGTTATGGAAGAGTTTACTGTAATTACTAATTGAAATAAACATTAATAATATACTTTTGACACTTCATTATCAAGTGCAAATTCAAATTATTTAACAAAATAAACGTAAAACTATACTTCATAATTAAGGTCTTATTAACTAAGTATATATAGAACATTAGTTAAAAAATAATAAAAATAAACAAATTATTATGTTTTAGTAATTTTTAATTTCTAATTCTTTAATCATTATTTTAAAAGCACTGGTTAATATTTTAATAATTAAAAAAAATAAAACAGTAACACTAACTGGATTCCCCACGTGGTAAGAGTCGTAAAATAAGAACACGTTACATCTACCAGTCATCATAATTGATAGGCCAATTCGCAATTTCAGCAGAAGGGTAGCCAATGCTTCCCTCGCAATGCTTAGGTTTGTTACAAATTGGAGCACACAACCGTCAATTATTGATGCTCCAAAGTCCACAACTGGGAGGAAAAATCCAAAAGAAGTGAGATAATAAGAGCACGAGGGTGATGAGTCATCTAGTCATGACTTCACTCATTCACTCAATGCACCCCCCCCAACCGTAAGATAGATATTTAGAAAAAAATGACCAAACCCAACACTTTGCCACAAAACCTTCCATTGATAGATGAACCATAATTATAATTTCTTCACTTCTACATTAAATAGACAATATTAATTACGCAGCGTGCCCCGGGGGCGAACGTGACCCACCCATCCAATAACACTAGCAGACACCACTCACAGCTCAGCACAGCGCAACAACGTTCTGTGGGGCATTTTAGCGAACACCTACAAGTAAAAAGTTTCAAGGAGGAGTTAACAGTGTTGGAAGTTGGAGTGTGAGAATGAGTTTCAGGGAAGATAGCGGAGAAGGAAGGGACCTTCAGAAACCGTTTCTCCACACGGGGAGCTGGTACAAAATGGGTTCAAGACAGTCCAGTATCATGGGCTCTTCCACTCAGGTTATGCGCGATGGCTCTGTCTCCGTCCTCTTCTGCGTCCTCATCGTTGCCTTGGGCCCAATCCAATTCGGCTTCACGGTATTCAATTTCTTTCCAATTTTTCTTTCCATCATAATAAATAAAAAATTTGTTTAAAGTTATTTTTGAAATTTTCTGGTACAGAGTGGCTATTCTTCTCCAACGCAAGGGGCTATAGTTCGCGATCTAAAGCTCACGGTTTCGGAGGTTTTGCTTTAGTTTTTTTACTTTTTTTTTTCTTTGGTTTATTAATTAATGTTGTTGTTGGTTTATATTATGGTTTTGGTGTTTGATTTTTGGTTTGTTGTAGTTCTCTTTGTTTGGATCTTTGTCGAATGTGGGTGCGATGGTGGGAGCTATAGCTAGTGGTCAGATAGCTGAATACATAGGGCGCAAAGGGGTATTTTATTTATTTTTAATTATATATTTGTGGTGTTTGTTTTGAAGAAACTTGTTAAAGGAAAGTCTATGAATGTTGCGTTGCAGTCATTGATGATTGCTGCGATTCCCAATATAATAGGGTGGCTCGCCATTTCTTTCGCCAAAGTATGTATGAGGGGTTTGGTTTTGGATACTCTGGCTGGTTCGTTTTATGTGGGACAATCTGTGATCTGCTGTGTGATGTGCTGTTGCTTTTTATAGGACTCCTCGTTTTTGTTTATGGGAAGGTTGTTGGAAGGTTTTGGCGTTGGGATTATATCTTATGTGGTAAGCTTGATTGACACTCTTTCGATCATTTTTATTGGTTGGGACTATTGGTAACTTTGCCTAGTGAAAGTGATCCGTGTACTGGTTCTTTTGATCTGTTTAGGTGCCTGTTTATATAGCTGAGATTGCACCCGAAAACATGAGAGGTAGCCTTGGATCAGTGAACCAGGTTGAAATTTTATTGTTGCTTCTTGGTGCAAGTTTCGTCTTTTTTTTTTTTTTTTTTTTTTTTTTTTGTTTTGTGGATGTATTTGAAGTTTATTATGTTTGTAATTTTTCTGTTTCAGCTCTCTGTTACAATTGGAATTTTGCTGGCTTATCTGTTGGGCCTTTTTGTCAACTGGAGAGTGCTTGCCATTCTTGGTAAATTTCTGATTGTTTACTTGGCTAAGTATTCATGCATGGACTGATGGAACTCTTAGAAACTTGGGTTGCAGATCAGTTTCATTAAGTCTTTGCAGAAATGAATACAAGGAACATATTTAGGGTATATGTGCATAGACGGCTGGAGCCACGTTTATAAAATAAAATAGGGTCAACCATGGGGTAGGGGAGTAAAATTTGATTGGGGATGAAAAGCAAAAGTACGATTCAACACGGACATGGGTTTCTTTTTTTTCTTCTTAAATCACAACCATGATATGCCATATAAAATTAATATAAAATACAGATTTTAAATCAAAGAGAATCGATGATTAAAAGTTGAGTATGAGTTATTGTTGACTTAGTAAATTGCTATGATTTATCTAATTATTGTGATATTCCTATATGTATTATTGGTATAATATTCTTAAAAGTAAAAGTAAAAGTAAAAGAAATTGTAAAATGCTGTTAGAAGTTTTTACATGTCAAACATGGGGTACAACACAGACATGACTTCATTTTTAAGTGTCCATGCTTCATTTTGTTAAAAAGCAACATAAGGTCTAATAGATAGTTGTTTGATCTTTCAAAACATTAATAAGTGGAGCATATCTTTACTTATTTCTGCAACCAAAATAATAACAATAAATGTTTTATGTTCTATTTCAGGAATTTTGCCTGGTACAGTATTAATACCTGGATTATTTTTCATACCAGAATCCCCCAGATGGTTGGTATGGATCTTTTGTTATGTATTATACAGAATGAATGTTTGTACCTTTTTCTTTGTTAGAATACATGTTCCTTCTAGAAAAAGGATGGTAAGACATTCTGGTCTTGCTAATTATCTTTCTGCTTCTCTTTTAATTTTTTTCTTGGGTTGGTGGGAATTGGGGAAGTATAGGCCAAGATGGGGATGACAGATGAGTTTGAGACTTCGTTGCAAGTGTTACGAGGATTTGAGACAGATATATCTGTTGAAGTACATGAAATTAAGGTATTTTTTACTCATTATGCATGACAGTAAGGATACATGTAGTACAGTATGACTGTAGTTTTAGTATGTATTTTAAGAAACATGCAGTGCTCACCACTTTGCTTTTTCTAGAGATCTGTGGCTTCAACAGGAAAGAGAGTTGCAATCCGATTTGCGGATCTCAAGAGGAAAAGATATTGGTTCCCCTTAATGGTATTAAGCCCTATGAGTTCTGAATTTTTACAAGCTCTCTTCCTAAGCACGACCTATTGTCATTTATCTGGTGGGTCAAGCATCTAAACTTTACTAACTGAGCCACTGCAGGTAGGAATTGGATTACTTGTTCTTCAGCAATTGACTGGTATCAATGGAGTTTTATTCTATTCAACTACCATATTTGCAAATGCAGGTTTAGATCTGCCTATCAGTTTTCAAATTAAATTTGTACTATGTATGATAATTTTATTGTTCTATTTTTTTCGGGGGTGGGAGTTGTGGGAGGAGGGTGATTGGTAGGTATTAAGCAATCTGTAGGGTGAAGGGAGTTTTAAAATCTTGAATTACTCAATTCCTGTTTATTACATAATACAACATGGGTTGAAATGTTTGATATACATTGGTTGTACCTGGGTGGCATTGATTTTCACTTCATTAGTTCATTTCCATGACTCCCATAGCTGCTTTCTTATCCTAATAATGTGTTTGACTGAAAGAGATACAGACAGACTAATTCTGATATACTTTTAATATATTTTTCATGGGTTTGGGTTTTAGCACTTGGTAACAGAAACTGATTAGTGTTTTTAGATGACTGCTGTAATACCTCCAGGATTTGATTTGCGCCTGTATTGGTATTTGACTTCCATATTGTAACAGGAATTTCATCCAGCGATGCTGCTACAGTTGGACTTGGAGCTATTCAGGTTGCAATTGCATAATAAAGCCTAGATTACATATCATGTTTCATGTGAATAATAATATATTGATGGTCAAATCAGCTCTTGTAATCAGCTTTCTTTTTCAGGTCATAGCAACAGGTATTGCTACTTGGTTGGTGGATAAAAGTGGCCGGAGGCTGCTGCTAATAGTGAGTATGAAGTAAAATTCATCCCTCCATAACCATTTTCTATATCTATTATACTAAAAGATGGATATGAAGTTTAATAAGATTTTGGGACCTGTTATCACCTCTGCAGATATCCTCGTCTATAATGACAGTTAGCCTTCTCATTGTTTCTATAGCATTCTATCTGGAGGTTGGTACTTGTAATGGTTATGGGTAATATCTTAATTGAATTTCAGAAGTATAGCTATGATTTTAACTAGTTTACTTCATTGATACCAGGGGGTCGTATCAGAGGATTCACATCTATATAACATTTTGGGAATACTTTCTGTTGTTGGACTCGTGGTATGTCACTTGGGCTTTTGGCTGGAACTTCTTTCTCTGCATAATTTGTCATTTAAGGGCATGTTTAGTTTGAAAACAGAAATGAAAATAAGAAACATTTTATCAAAGTAAATAGACCCTAAGATTTTTAGTATTCATGTTTGATCAATGGTTTTTCTTGTAGGTTATGGTGATTGGGTTCTCTCTAGGACTTGGACCCATCCCTTGGCTTATAATGTCTGAGGTATGAAATACTCTCTGTATTCAAGACGAATAATTTGAAGAACAATGAAGGATCTAGTAAATAATAGTTGTTGCATTTTTACTATTAAGTTAATGTCAGCAGGTTTGCTCTTGTTTGTTTGGTTCTGAAGGCACCATGTCACTTTTGGATATTAAATCACGGTTGCTTGCAGAGCTTGAGTTAATTGTGTTCATTGAATACGTAGATAATTCCTCACTTGTTAAATAATGTTTTCCAGATACTTCCAGTGAATATAAAGGGCCTTGCTGGCAGTATAGCAACAATGGGAAATTGGCTGATTTCGTGGGTGATCACTATGACTGCTAACTTGCTTTTGAATTGGAACAGTGGAGGTGAGGGTGTGTCCGCGTGTGTAATGCATGTCTTGATTGCTTGCCAATATAATGCTGACTTGTCTGTCTACAGGGACATTTACAATCTATACAGTGGTAGCTGCCTTTACTGTTGCTTTTACAGCGTTGTGGGTCCCTGAGACCAAAGGAAGAACATTGGAAGAAATTCAGTTTTCCTTTAGGTAGATGTTTTGGGAGAGCACACAGGTAGTGTATTATGTTTAAACTAAAATGGTGTCCAATATCATGTATTTTTATAGTTCTTTGTATTTATCATGTATCAAGTTCTGTAACAAAAAGAAGAGGAAAAAAATAATAAAAATCAGTTTCTGTAACAAAAAGAAGAGAAAAAAATAATAAAAATCAGTGCATCATATTTCTTTACTGAACAAGCTACCGATATAAAAGATTTTAAAAATATAGTAGCAAAAGAACGAGAAAAAAATAAATAAATTTGTCTTCTAGTCATAATGTTGTCGTCCAAATCACAGTGTGTTTTATTTCTATCGCGGATTATATTCTGCCTGGACATAGGAGGAAACTGCTTGAGGCGCCTGTGGTAAATATGGGTCACCAATTACACCAAGTGACTTGATTACCCACTTTGACTTGAATAATTGCATAATATTCTGGTTGCTTTTTCATTTTGGCTGATTCTCTTTTTGGTGATAAAGAGGTGTAAATAATAAAGATGAAAATGAAATCTTTAGGTGTTATCTGCGACAGAAATATACCATTCAAGTGAATTTTACTGCTTGTTGTAAGACATGCTGTATGGATTGGCAATAAAAGACTAATAAGAAAATACATTTGATGTGATAGAAGTGAGATTACTGAATAATTAGACAAGATTTTATATCCAATAAACATATTAGATATGGTTGGGAATGGATGTATTTGCTACAAAATTGGGATAGTAACTATAGTAAAGATTGCAGATTGTAGTTATTAGATGGTTTAAGCATGTATGAACAAGTTTTGACAACAAGAGTAGAAGCTTTTTTTTAGAGTAAATTAGTTGAGAATTGTTGTTAATATATTATTTTAAATTTATTTTTAACTTCTTTTTTAATTGATTACATTTTGAAAACTTGAAGTAATATACAAAAAAAGTGATTGACTAGATAAGTACCAGTATTTTGACTTTATAAAAAATAAAATAATTATAAAATGTGTATTAAAGATTTTTTTAGTATTTTATTTTAAAATTAGATTTACTTAAATTACTAAAGGCACAAAAATATTAGAAAAAATTAAGAATTTAAAAGTCAATTGTTTGTATAGATAAGATTTAACATGGAATATTATAGTGTGGTTTAATTATTAATGTGTGTAACTGTTTTTATTATATAAAAAAGAGGTTTTGGTTTTGGTTTAATATACTTGGAAGCAAAAATGATATACACCTAAAAAAATTCCTTTATGTAGTAATGAATTAAATTACATCGATGATAATATTTACTCTTACATTATCAATAATTTTTTATAGATATGTTTTTTTTATTCTACGATTAATTTATAACCATATACAACTTCAATTGTTTGTGTCAAATTTTATCAAAACTAAATTATAAAAATATAACTTAAGTGTTTTTAGTTTTATATATTTTTAAAGTATATATCATGTTACTTTTAGTGTATATAAATATGACATTAAATAATTTTAGATTAGTCTAAAATTCTGTATGCATTATTTATAAATTAATTTTAATTTCAGAGTTAATTTTAGAATTAAATTATTCAATAAAAATTATTAAATAGTGTATATAAATATTTTAAACTTTTATTTTATCTCAATTGATTTTTAAACGTTACTTTTTATGAAATTAATTCTTTGATAAAGTTGAGAGGAATCTAAATAAAAGTGATTCTAACACTTTATTTATCTTAAATCTCAGTCATTCATTAGTTTTCTTTTATAATTCATTATTTCATAACATTAAAACACTAAATTTTTTATATGTAGTAAATTCTTATTCTAGTTCCTGAGACAGCTAGTATTTCTTATTTTAGTTTTAAATTTTACAAAATTTTTACTTTAGTATTTGACGTGGTAAGAAATATTCTTTTTAATTTTTTACTTTAGTTTTTTATTTTCATTTTATATATAAATAATGTTTATAATTTTTAAAATTGAAGCTCATTAACTCAAAATTAAACAAATTGAAAGATAAATTAATCTAGGAAAATAACATTGTCATTGCTCGTCCTTTGAATGAAGCCTTTTGATTTTGATTTGGCGATTAATAGATGCTCTTCATTCTTGATGCCAAACACCAATTATAAAAATCCTACGTTCGCACTATGTAAGTACGTGTCTTTTACGGATGTGCTTAAAATTTGAGATGAGTACGGTTTTTAACTTAGGGGTGGAGAAAGGACGCGTGGAACATACAAATATTTCTCAGAGGCCCACGTATGCAATTAGATAAAGTTATTATCATAAACTTTTTGACCCAAAAAAAGTTATCATAAACTAAAATTCATTGCAAGGATGTATACAATATTTTTTTATGATACTAATTATTAGAACTGTATTAATAATAATATTAAATAATTGATGTTATTCAAATTATTTTTTCTAATTATAATATCCTTTATACAGGATTATCCTGATAGAGATGAGAACATCTCTGATACTCTTTTAGTGCAAATTCTTTTTTATATATACATGAAACTTTATTTAAAAATTTCCAAGTACGTTTCATTTAAACTAATTTTTATTGATAAAATTATTATATATTTTTTTTTATAAAAAATGTTAATTCACTTATTCTAAAAATACAATTAAATACCTGAATTAATTGGTGAAGTTATTTTAGCTTTATATATATATATATATTTGAAAATTTTACTCTAAAGCTAAGTTTTATTAATTTTTTTTTGTTTAATAACTTTTTTTATCATTTTTTTATTGATACAGTCATTAAATTAAAAAATATTATTAAATAGATTAAGTATATAAAATTCTATATAACATACAAATTTAGCAATCAGCTTTATTTTAATAGATATAGTATTTTTTAAAATATAAATAAATAAATATATTATTGTTGAAATCAATGTATGTAAATTAAGTCACTATGTAATTATTTTAGATAAAAGAATATCATGTAATTATTATACATAATTATAAATAGATAGCTCTATTTTGTTTTCAAACATATATTCATTCTATGTCTTTTCGTAGCTTTTTTACCTTTTTAAGGTTAATTTGAAAAGAAAATGCCAGAATAAGCATGCATGTAAAGAAATTCCGTGTCTGGGGTTGGTACGTGGCAGTGAAGTCGTCCATGAGACGGACGACACCAAAAAATAGAAACGTCCAATTACCAGACAACACTAATTTGAATAGACGGCTGGGGATGAACTAAGCCACGTGTACAAATCCTACAGAGTCGTTTGAGTCAGAGGCAACATTAATGTCGGTCGTGTCAGAGACGATTCAGTAGTGTCGTCTTGGTCAGAGACGACACTAATTTAATTGGTCCACATGGCAAAGAATTTTGACCGTTTGGGCGCGGGCTTCTCCCTTCTCCTCCATCTTCTCCATTTTGCTTGCAAAATATGGTTGCCGGAAAAAAAAAAAATAACACAGCATTTCTTGCGTTTCTGAACTATTTTGTTAGATTATGGTATTAAGGTTTTATAGCAAAAGATTATTAAAAAGGTATTGAGATTAATATTTTGAATAGATTTTGCTTTTTAACAATAAAATTGCAAATGTATGTAATATTGAATCTATGATGCAGGTGAAATTGTGGGTGGATGCTCGTAAGTGAAGGGTGCTGGTGAAGAAGAAGGTTTCTTCAAACTTGTTTACAAAGCTACGGAGGTGCACAAGTTTTTTATTTTAATATTTAAAGAATTTATTAATTAATTTTTTTTATTCTGTCACAAATAATATATTAGATAAATTATATTAGAAAATATATAATATATATGTTATTATTTATTATAATTAGTAGTTCAGAAATGTAAAAAAAAATTATAGTAATCCATAAAATATATTAATTATAAAATTTGAAATAAAATAATATTTTAATAACTTGATAAATTAAGAGGAAAGAATAATATATATATAAATATATTGTTTAGAAAAAAAATAAAAAACATGAACATGAAAAAGTATATACAGAATGCAGTGAAAATATTAAATAAATAATGTAGAAGAAATAATAATTGTAAATTATTTGATAGTAGATTGATATATAAAGAAATTAGTGAAATAAAAATTATTAGATATAGTAAATTTAATATAATTATTAAGAAATAAGATAATGATTGAATAATTATAATAAATAAAGATAATAATAATTTGATGAAAATGAACATAACAGAAGTTTTATTATTAGTAAGAATGTAGTATTTAATTTGGTAAAAAATAATACATTATTATCTTTTACAAATTTTATAATTTATGTGATTTACTTGAAAGGATTTTATAAATAAGGTATAAAATTGGTTTTAAAATGCATTTTATTCTTAAACAAAGAATATTTTAGATAGGAATGAAATTAAAAATTATATAATGTACGTGTTATTATTTATAATCATTTGTTAAAAAATATAATAAATAAAAATTATAACCATCCATAATATGTATTAATTATTAAATTAAAAAAATTCTGCACATAATAACTTGATAAATTAAGAGGAAAGAATATGATATATTAATATATAGTTTTGTAAAAAATAAAAAACATGAACATGAAAAAATATATATATAATGCACTGAAAATATTAAATAATTAATGTAGAAGAAATAATATATTTTAATTATTTGATAGTAGATTGATATATAAAAAAATTAGTGAAATTAAAAATATTAGATATAGTAAATACAATGTAATTATTGAATAATTATAATAAATGAAGATAATAATAATTTTATGAAAATTAACATAACAGAAGTTTTATTATTACAAATTACATAATATATGTGTTATTATTTATAATTAGTTGTTTAAAAATGTAATCAATAATATGTATTAATTATGATATTAAATAATTTCTATTTTAATTAATTGATAAATTTAGAGAAAAAAATACTATATATTACTTGATAACTTGTGAGAACTATTGTCAAAACTAATATTCCTTATAATCCAAAAAATAAAACATCTTTAAATTTTTTTTTTGCCAACCCTTAACATAAAAAATTGTACAAAATTTTAGAAACAATGTTTTTTTTTTTTAATTTCTTGTCCAGCATAATTATTGAATCGTTTAAAATTAGGAAAAATTAATATAAAAATGAAATTAAACTTTAAATAGGAATAAACTTTAAGTATTGTGAGGAGTGGAAATCCAGCTTGATCCAGCCATTGATATTGGTCAACCAACAGATCGTAAGAAAGGAAAAAGTTTGCAACGTCGTCGAACAGAAGTGAAGGTAATACACGAAAAAATTTATTTTAAACATATTACAATGTTGTAGTTATCTAGATTACATGTTCCTCATGGTACAATTTGCAGGCGACAGAGTGGTCACTTCCCCCTTTGCCAGAACGCAGGGACGACGTCTATTATGTCCCACCATAGTTTCCCTTCAATCCTTCACAGGCCACTCAGACATCTTATTTTCACACATCACAGGTCACTTCACACCCTCCTCCATCTCCATTTAGCGGTGGTCAATATTATGTCCCAGAGGGTAGCCTCTACATGACACCTCCTCCGTATGAGCCATCTTTCTTTACACCTGATGCACCGGCTATAGGAGGTCATCAGAGTGGACAGGGTTGGGAAACTTCATCATTCCAAGTAGGTTCAGACCATGGCATTGATCTTAATGCAGATTTTATTGTTGCTGCTGATGCGAAGGTACAAGATGTGCGTCGCAACCCTCATCGTGAAGCACGAGATCGTCGTCGACAGTGCATACTCACACCTCATGAGGTCGGGCATGCAGATCAATCCTTGGATTCAGATTGATGGATGTAAAAAAATGTATAAGTTCTAACTTGATGTTGCACCCTTTTTATTTGCATTACTAGAACATGTTATCTATATATAACATATATTGCTAATTCACCCTATATCGTACAAAGTTAGTTAAAACATTAACAAGGAAATACGCGTTACACCCTTGTTGACATTAACAACAAAGTACAGTACAACACCATGATAAGCATTAACAACAAGGTACATCAATACACCATGATAAGCATTACCAACAAAGTACATGAAAACACCATTAATACATTAACAACAACAATCTGTCTTGAAAAACAACATCTTGTATCATCTACTGCTGATTACGATCATTATGCTGAGGACAATGACGTTGGTTATGACCATGTTGTCGACACAATCTACATCTTTGTCGTGGTTGTGACTCGACCCAATCCATTTCATTCCTAATTCGGATCATCTTTGGTCTTCTTTTACCTCGTGCTCTTTCCACATTTGGTACTAACTTCCACTCATTATTATGTAAAATATTACTTTCATTTCCAAGAGGCCACCACTAAGATGAATATGCGTTCATAACATACTGTATAGTATAAACAGGATCCACATATTGCCAAAAATCTATGCTCATATGAGCACAAACAGCTATGACATGTGAGCATGGATATCGGAATGCCTTAAATTTTCCGCATTGACAATAACGTGTGGACAATATGACTGTCCACTTATGACCACCCCTTTGTGTCACTGGATTAAATGCCTCCTCAACCTCAAACTTTGTTCTTTGTATGTCATACCGCCGAACTTGATGTGAAGATGCTTCTTGTTGATTTTTTTCCATAGCTTCCATTAATTTTTGACAGTATCTTCCTCCATTGTTAACCTCATACATTGCGGTTTCACCACGCTTCACAAAATATTCTACTAACCGTGCATACGTAGCTTTGACCAAGGCAGTAATAGGAAGGTTTCTTGCCCCTTTCAAAATTTTATTTATGGACTCAGACAAATTTGTTGTCATGTGGCCATAACGACGTCCTTCATCATCATAAGCCAAGCTCCACTTTTCCTTGGATATATTATCTATCCAACTCTGAATTTCAGGTGATTGTGATCGAAACATATTAAGCTTAGATTCAAAAATATGTTTTGATGGTGTATATGCTGCATTTAACAGAAAAAATTTTAATGCATAGGTTAAATATATTCTTGATATATTAAAGGTTAAATGAATCAAATACGAAGATTACGTACCTAATTGAATTAGTTTTTTCTTCAACATGGTATTTTTGAATCGTCGATTGAAATTGCTTGCAATGTGACGAATGCAATAAACATGATAAGCATTTGGAGGTTGCCAACCTAGATGTGGGTTAGAGACTGCACCTTTTATACTTTGATGTCGATCTGAGATCAAACATAGCCCTGCCTTATTTGTCACATGTATACGAATCATGGCTAAAAACCATTCCCATGCAGATAAGGTTTCTCCTTCGACAATGGCAAACGCAATAGGAAGCACACAGGTGTTTCCATCTTGAGTCGTAGCAATTAGCAAAGTTTGTCGGTACTTACCGTACAAAAATGTTCCATCTACCTGTATTATAGGCTTACAAAAGTTGAAAGCTTCATGACATTGCTTGAACGACCAATACAACCGATGAAAAACTCGATATCTATTATCCACGGTGTGACCTTCAACATAATTAGTTGTTTCAATTTTGTATACAAATCCAGGAGCATGTAATTGCATGTACTCTAGCCACCTTGGCAATGCAGCATAAGATTCGTCCCAATCACCAAATACAGTAACAATTGCTTTTTGTTTTGCTTTCCATGCCTTCTTATATGAAATTGAATATCCAAATTGACCACTAATTCTCTCTTGAATTAACGAAATAGGCATTGATAGTTCTTCTTTTACCATACCTGCATGTCATATATTAAGAGCTAATTATTAAATTTGTTGGGATGTAATACGATGAAAATTAGTAAATTTTTCCTATTTCAAATTTCTCTAATTTAATATTAAATTTAACATACCAAGAATGCATAAGCAAATAAATTTGGAATCCAACTTTTGGTGGTCTTGAGAGATTGAAGCATTTACGCACGTATGGGCACCACCCCACTTTATAATTTTCCACTTGTCTCCATTTTTTGGCAATGATGCTCGAACTCTCCAAGGACATCCACTATTGTGATTGACACACTTCACAACATATGTTGTTGCTTTTGACTCCACCACAAAAAAAGTTTGATGCTTCCTCATGGCATAATGTTTTATAGCCATTCTTACATCTTCTTTAGTCTCAAATAGTTGTCCAACATATAATGCATCTCCTTCCTTCTATGATTGCGCTTCATTCATTCCAAAAAAATCTAATTCTTCATCAGGGTGTTCCCAATTAATATGACTGTAATGTGGGGTTATATTCCAAAAGGGCAATGTAGTTTCTGCATTACAATAATTTATTCGTCAATTTTATACCATGAATAACAATTTATACAACTATAAGTTCTACAAAAAACATACCTCCATGTTGTTGTTGCGGTAAACTAACTCTTACAATACCCTCCATATTGATCATTGAATCACAATCATCATCTGTCTCAGTATCAGAAAAATCATTTAATGAAATATTTTCTTCATTTTCATATTCATCATCTTCATCTGTACATTGTAAACTTAGATTATTAATAGCATTTGCAGCATCAATTTTTCAAATTTAAAAATTATTAAATTCATATTACCTTCTCTTTGTGCATAATCATCATCATCATCATCACTTCCATGAAGTTGTGAGACTGATAAATTCACTTCTAATGGACGTGCTACAACAGAAGATGTTTCACCTACTGTAACATCCACATATATCTCAACTACATTCCTATGATGTGGTTGTTGACACGCACTTATCATGCAATCTATGTCTTCATCGTCACATACATCTAAAGTTGTATGATATTGATCATTTGTCCCAACTAAAATTCGAGAAATTAATCTAGAAATTACATGACAACTTGACAATTTCAGCTTTGTGTGGATCTTCTGTTTAAACATCTCAAATGTGATCCCACGTTCTATCTTAATCATCTTTTTTTGCCCTTAAAAAATTATACCCTCATTTCTTTCATATATTCTACCATTTGAATATAATATAACAACAGTTTCATTCATCCTGCATTTAAAATAAACCAAGCTTATTTATAAATTAATTTATAATATAACAAAATATATTTTTAAATTTATTTATAATTACAAATATTTAAATATTTAATTTTTTACATTATATGTTATCTGCCTTATTTCCAAACATAACAACAAAAATTAAATTACAACATTAATATTTAAAAGCCATTAAAAATATAAATTAAATATTATTATTCAAATTAAAATTTCTACATAACTATTAAAAATAAATTATATATTTATAATACTTAAAATCTAACCTGATTGCTCAATAGTTATTATTTCTTGTTCAGCTTCACACTGTTATTTTTGCCCAGCTGCTCACTGTTATTCCTGCCCAGCTCCACACTTTCTTCTCGCTACTTGCATTTTCTTTCGAGCTTCATCCTACTATATATATACACATTCTAACTTGGACAAAGACAAAAATTTTTACCCGAGGTACCATTAAAATCGCCTCTGTTGTGGACGACATTAAAATCGTCCAATATATAATGACACAAGCTGTGTCGGCTCAACCAGGGATGACACTGTCATAGGTCGCCACGTTAGACGTGTGTCATCCCTCTTTTAGACGACTTCACCTGTGTCGTCTAATAAGTGGACACTTTTTATTTGAGTATCGCCCTTACGCTGGACGACTTCAGTGCCACCTGCCACTCCAACCTCAGACAGGGAATATCTTGGAATGCAGCCTTATTTTGGCATTTTCTTTTCAAATTAACCGTACAAGGGCAAAAAAGTCTCTTTTCGTTTTAATGTTTATCAATATGGTATTTAGAGGTTAATCCTAACACGTGCATTTCTAGTAGGCCTTCTGTCTTTGACAAGATGTTTATGGTCTTTCTCTCTTCTTTACGTTGTTTATAGATGTTTTCAACCATGCTAGCCTACTACTTGTTTCTCTTACATTGTTTGTCTCTTATGATGCCTTTTAAAATGATGTGAAACTCATTAGTCTTTTGATTCTATTGTGTTGATTCCACAAACTAGTAATTCTTTTGTTGACATTGTTCATTCTCCTTCTCTTTGTCTTTTATTGATCAATGTTTATAAATACATAGAACTATTACCGTAAATATGAAAAAAAAAATTATAATATATATAAATAAACTTTACAAATTTTATAGTCTTACTTTAACTTTTTAGACTAAACTATTGATTTAGTCATTAAAAAATTAGTTAACATTAATATTTCTTTAAATATTTGGATATTAATTCTTTAAACATTAAAAGACAAAGAAGTATTTCTTATTTTCATAGAATGGAATAGGATGAAATGATATAAGTGACAAATTTAGTAAAATAATACCTTTTAATGTTGTTTTATCAGAAATAAATTTAATTAACCTATTATTAATTAATATAATAGTATTATAGTGATCAAGCTCACAAAATTTTATACAATTTATCGATATGCAATGAAAAATTATTTATTTATTTATATTTTAATTAACATGTTGTATGTTAAAATTAAATAAAACAATGAGATATCAGGTAATTTGTAAATCATGTAAAATTTTATAAAATTGATTACGTTAAATTTAATGGTTAGATTTACTAAATTCACTTTTGATAAAAAAAAATAATTAAAAAATCATTTTAATAACTTTGACATTTATAATCATTTAATTCTATCCCTATTTTCATTTATAATAACCTGACTATAAATAACATTTCAATGATAACGTACTCATACTGTATTTTTCCTCCTTGATAAAGAAAAATCAATTAATCAAACAATAAATTGAAAGTGCCGCAATTTTTTTGACGGGAAAAAGCATCACAAATTAAATTAACCAACACAAATTAATCTATTTCTAGTTAAAAGATGAAAGTGTAGATTAATCTATTTTCTTCTTTACTAGCATTTTAGACAGGTTTGAGGGAGTGTTTAATGTCACTCTGATACGTTTATTATCATTTTTATTTTTTAAAAAAATATATAAAAAGTTTTTATTGTTAATATAATTATAAAAAAATAAATTAAATAAAAATAACAATGAACATTTAAATGTAACCATAAATACTCAAAAGTAACAACAAACACTTTAACCAGTTGATAACTCGAAACATTCAATTCAGCATCCGAGTTGATATTTGGTCTCAACGAATAAACATCAAATGCTATATAATAAGATTTAGGTAGACAATTCTTCTCATTTTCCTTTTCTACATGGCTTTGTCATATTCAATTAATCCAAGCCACACGACAGGATCCTGATCCGATAATAAGAGTTTTCATGGGATCTTTTGGTCTCACATTTCTCGCGTGCCAAATGACGCGGACAAATCTGAAGGACGTCCTTGTAAGCTATAACCTTGCACCAATTATAAGCTTCTCAGATCATTTTCCTCTTGAATTTTTAAGAATCTCGTAGAATATTTGAAAATCACGTTAACGAAATCTTTGAAGTTCTAACTCATCTTAGAAATTAGAGACAACGCAATGCCTTTGGGGGAGGAATACGAGGATGCTAGGAGCCTTAGAAATCCGTTGGTTAACCACAACCGTGGAAATTTCTTTGTTGTGCTATGCGTCCTCGTCGTAGCTTTGGGCCCTATCCAATTCGGTTTCACGGTGCTTACACTAATTATACATCTATAATTTCACACTTCCTCATTTTCTTGCTCTATACGTCCTTTCTTTTATTTAATCATTTACGTGCTTTTCATTAATTTTTTATCCGCGTTGCCTTGTTGATTATAATATTTATGCAGTGTGGTTATTCTTCACCAACACAAGCAGATATGATTCGAGATCTTAATCTCTCAATTTCAAGGGTATTTATTTGATTGAATGGCCTTCGTGTTTTTTATGGAACCTTTTAATGACGTGATTTATTTGTTGAATATGTGTTTGGGACAGTTTTCACTCTTTGGCTCTCTAGCCAACGTAGGTGCAATGGTGGGAGCAACTGTCAGTGGTCAAATAGCAGAATACTTTGGACGTAAAGGGGTATTATACTATCATTAGTTACCACGGCCTAAGTATATTGATTTATAGTTAGACCGCATTAATGAGAAGAACAAAAAATCAAATGTAAAAATTAAGATAAAATAATTATTCTGAAAATGAATCAATTTTTTTGTTTTGGCTTCTCACTTAATCTTTAGGTCAATATATATAGATTGCTAAAAGCTGGTAATAAATAAATTATTAAAAATGGAAATAATAATCTTCTCTATTCAGGCTATGCGTGAGGAAGTGTAGTGACCTTTAGACAACGAAATAAAAATAAATAAATTTGATTAGTTAGAATTTCAACTTTGAAATTTATCACTGTGGCATGTTGAATTGCAGTCGCTAATTGTCGCAGCAGTCCCAAATATATTTGGATGGCTCGCCATTTCTTTAGCGAAAGTAAGTATAGACACAGTGTAGTTTGTTGGCATGAATTAATGCTGCTGTCATAAAAGTTTCTTAATTACTTGCTATGTTGTTTACTCCTTTCCTAGGACTCGTCGCTTCTGTTTATGGGAAGATTGTTGGAAGGTTTTGGCGTGGGAATAATCTCCTATGTGGTAATCCTCACTTCCTCGTTACTTTTTATTCCTTTATTAATGTTTTGGATTAATGTCTGTTGGATGGCCCATTTGCTGACGATATTCTGGGGTGATGGTATTTGTTTTAGAGCTTGGTGTTAAGTTAATACCTACATCTTTTAGATCAAGACTTAGTGCATGTTGTTTGATACGAGATTAATTTTAAGGAATAATTGCTTAGACATATATATATATATATGATTAATAAAAATAAACAATTTTAAAAAAATAAGTTAAATTAAATACATATATTATCCTTCTCCCTGTTTCTCTCAACCTCTCCCTCTCAATCTTTTTCTTTTCCCTTTTTTTTAATTCTCTCACCCTTTTCCTTCAACATACAATAGACTACTATAACTCATAGCAATTCCAATTTAGTACTGTGGCCTACATTCAATTTCAAAATCCTTCTTAAAAATTCAATGAAAGAAAGAAGAAACAGTAATAGCAGTTTAATCTTGATTAACTATACTATACTGTAGTATCAATATTTTTTTGGTGAATGAGAAAATGAACAAAAGAAAGAAAATTAGAAACCACGCTGGCACCCGCTGCATTAGCTAAAAGAAAAGGATAAAACCGAAGAGGAGGCAAGGTGTCACTTGAAATTCTCCTCTTTAGAAGCTCCGAGTCAAACTAAATGCATATATGGTTCCTGATGGTAGATGTGTATATTTTTGCCTTAACTAAGATTTTGATCTAAAAGAATCGTGAATTTTCTCTTTTCCTTTTTTTCTTAATATATTTTTTTCACTTAGTTCTTCAAAAATTGTTTTTTCAGTTTCATCTGATTGTATTATTAGTAATTTTCAACTTGTTTTATTATTTTCTTATATAACAATTGAATTGCCTTATATAATTTAACTAACACATAATATGACCAAAATGCATTACTAATAATATCACATATCTTTTATATTTTTTAATAAAATTTTAGCTTATAAATTAGAATTTCTAAAATGGAGATTTAAAAATAGAAAGGAAATAAAAATATAGATGTCGTTAAATTAGATGTCATATAAGTTTATACTTAAAAAAAGCAACAATTTATTAATCAAAGAACCAAATGAAGAAAACAACAGGTATAGCCCTTGGAGTGAACTTGTTTCTACTAGATGGTAATGTGGCAACAAAACAAAGGCAGCCAAAGACTCTTAAGACTTAGATAATCAGGTTCTTTTCCATACAATAACTGATATTGACACTAGTTTTGCAAATCCGAAGTTGGGGTTCTATTGATGAGGAATGTTGCAGCTGCTACGCAGTCTCCCAAAATGAAATGGGTCCTTTAGATTGGAAACAAGGCGCAAGCCACATTTTGGAGATGTTGTTACTTGCGTTCTACTACTGAGTTCTGTTCTGGTCTACAAGAGAATTGATGAGGAGTGCCTTGTTCTTATCAGAAGTTGGTAAGGGCCAATTCTCTAGCATTTCGAATCTTATGCATTTAATGGTAGCTCCAAATTAAGTTTTCACCATTTTGAAAAAAAGGATTAGAACAGTGGTGGCCTCAGATTTGGATTGCAACAGAGATGAATCCAAGTAAAACACGAACAATCACCTACCAAGGTAGAAAAAATATCTTCTGCCATCATAGGTCTCATGTGCGTTTGGTCCTATACATCGCAATGAATAAGATCAAATGTATTGTTAGCAAAATTATTATGAGACCAAAGATAAGCATCAAAATTTAGCAAGAGGTCAAATATTACAATAATGAGAATTAAGGAGGAAGGAAAAGAAAAGGAAATTTTATTGCTTAAACAAATCTTTGATTCCACAAATGGGCATTAGTACAATGATGAGAAGTACCATTTACAAATGAATTGGAACTCTTAAAATCATATGGAGAAAATAATGTTCTAGAAAGATGAACATTGTTGTCAGATCCATGACTCGATTAACGTTGTTGTGAGCAGTGCTTTGGAACTTATTCTTCTAATCTTCATATAGCAAGGGGCAATGGGGATACCCGTTCAGCTTGAAGCAACGATCTTTTGTATGGCCCAAAAATCCACAATGATCACACAAGGTCCCCTTCTTCTTTTTAGGCTTGTCATGAATGTGCGGTTTTGAACCATATTGAACTGCTAAAGCCATCTGAGGAATATCCTCAGGAATGGAAGAACTGCCAAGTTCTTATTGCTTTTCCTCTTGAACGATTAGAGAAAAAACTTTGTTAATTGGAGGTACAGGGTCCATAGTTAGAACCTGACCCCTAATCTGAGAAAAGGAAATCACTGAGTCCCACTAAGAAAATCATGACATATTCAAGATGCTTATATTCACTCAAAGGGCGATTTTTGCATCTGCACCGAAGAAAAACTTTTTTTTTTCAAGTAAACGATCAACATAGTCCAATTATTTTTAAAATTCATTATAACAAGTTCTTAAACTAATTAAAATATTGTTTTAATCTCTAATATAATAATTATTAATCATTTTAATTTTTATAATTTCAAAATTTTATTAAAATAATTAATAATATAAGCAAATGTTATTTTAATTTTAATGCATGCAATCATCAATTATTTTATCTCTTAACCTATACAATTGTTAATTATTTTAATCTTTATCATCACTTAAACATTAATTATTTTAACAAACAAGCTAATTTAACATGTTAAGTGTTAGTCAATCATGTTACATGACATTTAATGATAACATGATAGAGTCACATGCTTTGAAGTTTGTTTTTTTTCTTTTCAAAATTCATTAATTTGATTTCTAAAATATTTCTAAACTTAAAATTCTATAGAAATTAAATTAACTTATTAAATATTTTTCCGTCATTATTATAGGTTACTATTATATCTTAGGTGTCATGTTTACATAACATTTAATATGTTAAGTTATCTTATTAGTTAGAACAGCTAATGTTTAGGTGACAATAAAGATTAAAATGATTAATAATTGTATGTATTGAATATTTAAATGATATTTTATATAAATTATCAATAATTTTAATAAATTTTTAAAATTATAAAGATTAAAATAATTCTCAATCACATATATTAAAGAATAGAATGGTGTTTTACTTAATTTAAAATTATTTTAATGAATTTTAAAAATAATAAAAAGCAAGTTGATAATTAACTATTTTTTTTTCATCTAAACAACTTGATAATCCACACGATTCACCCGTCACAGGTTTTTACTGACCATCGCTTGATATGACTGGGTAGTAAGGATTTGTATAAGACACTTTCCAAATTATCTTAATGCTTGACAGACCACAGAAACTTTAATATTGTGACTGCAGTTATAGTTGTGGATCGTAATTTAAAACACTGATTTATTCTAGTAATCCTTTTGATCCTGGAAGGCAATAGTTTTCCAAGCAATAAATAGGTAAAGCAGGAATGCCAGAAGAATACACGCCCTTCATTTTTTTCAAATTAATTTTCATAACTAAGGCTTTCTAATTAATTTTCTAATAAAACTATTTTAATAGTTTGATACTGTAGAAATTATATAATAATATTAAAAAGATTTTGTAGTTAATTCGTACTGGTAGGATCTCTTTTTCATGGAACCACAAGGTAAGTAACTGTGGTACCTCGGTTTTTTACTTTTTATTTTATTTTTTTGTTTAGGTACCAGTTTATATAGCAGAGGTGTCACCTCGAACCATGAGAGGGAGTCTTGGATCTGTGAACCAGGTTGGCTGCATGTTGTTTTTAAACGAAGCCTTGCATGCGTTATTATTCTTCTCTTCAATTATTGATCCATAAATTTATGATCTCTTCATGCAGCTCTCAATTACGATTGGGATCATGCTGGCTTATCTGTTGGGTCTTTTTGTCAACTGGAGAATGCTAGCAGTATTAGGTGAATTTTGAACTTTACATATCCATTGCAAAATTACAGCCCATTTTATACTTCATTAACTAATTTTTCATGCATTAATGGATATTTTAAATCTAAGTAAATTTTATAGATAAACATAGATCAAGGAAAATAATATACATTTTATTTATTAAAAAAATACTCTATTTTAATGGATAAAAACACATTAAAGAGATCATATTTTAAAATAAAAAATTATGAAAATAAATTATTTGAATTAATTAAGACATCATATTTATCGATACAGTGCCCAAAATTTAAAATCTAAAGTCAAATTTAAATTTAAAATTTTATAATTATAATAATTTTAAAATTTATTTTATCAAAAAAACTGATAGAATTTTATCAATAAAAAATTATTATATATTAACATCTTATTGGAAATCACATTGAGAATATTTTGAATATCACTAATGCTATGTTTAGATGAAATAGAAAAAGAGTAGAAAAAAATTAGTAAAAAAAAATATGATGGAAAAGAAACATATGAGAAATGAGACGAAAAATGTGTCGTTTAGATAAATAGAAATAAGAAAAAAAAACAGTGAAAATATTTTACTTATTTGGATGACTAAAAAAATTATTTTATATGAAAAATATATTTATAATAAAAAATTAAAATTTTAATATATTTTTTATGTAATTTTTATATTATTTTAAGAACTATTTTTAATAAAATATAAATCACGACATTGTCTCTCTCACGTAGCTTCGGTTGCAACTTTTCTCCTTACAATAGCAAAATCACAACATTGAAGGAGTTATTTTATTTTGGTATATTTCCTTTTTTTTTTTCAATGAATTCAAATAAGTGAATATGTTATTATATATTTTTAATAATCATTTAATAATATCATTAACTTTGATGTTAGAAAGGGTGAGTTGAGTTTAAAAAAAGTCATGAGATGTCATTAACTTGATATGAAATTAAAATTCATTGAATTTCAGCAATATGTACTATTTTAGAGGAATAAAACTTGTAAATAAATTATAAAATTTTAGATATTTTTTAAAATGAGAAATAATTTATAAAATATCTTTAAGAGTGAGACTCATCTTTACATATAAGAGATGTATATAGATGATTTGAATAGTAGTTTGTCACTTTGTCTCCTCCAGAATTCCACAAATGGAGGAAAAAACCCATTGGATCGCCCAATTCGTCTCATTACTTTTTTTTCCCAGGCTTTCCATGCTATATAGTCTCCACCACTATCCATTTTATTTATTTGGGATTGGATACTTTTATTTCGTGCCCTCACATTCAGCAAAAATACTTTTATTTGCCGGATTAATATAAATGTCAAATAAGCATAATCTATTGTACATTACTTTTAATATAAATTAACATTTAGGTCACAAGCTAATATAAATTGACATTCACAACCTTGCCGAATGCAAGCAAAGCCCTAAAATAGGGATTGGTTTACGCACAAGGCTCCAGTTTCTAATAGATTTATTGTATAGAAATTGAAATATGTAATATTTATACCTTAAAAATATGATAAATTATACAATTTATCCCTTTCAACTTTTTTCTAAAAATTATTTTTGTAATTTTTATTCAACAAAATTTTATTATAAGGATAAAATGATACAAAAAATTGCATTAAGGGAGATTAAGTGACATGATAAAAACTAAAAATCGATTGAGGCAAATTGAGAAACATAATAAGTACAAAGGTTAAATGAAATGTAATTTATCCTTATTAAAAATATATACAATATTTTTTAAGCCAATGAAAAAGGAATAAAAAAATATTTATCCGTACAATGAAGCATTTCTCTATTGTTTTTTTGCAGGAATTATTCCCTGTGCAATATTAATACCCGGGCTATATTTTATTCCAGAATCTCCTAGATGGTTGGTATGCATCATACAAAATGTATTATAAAATTTTCTTGACAAGTGTGGAAAGACCACTGATCAAGAACCAAATACCGCTTATTTTGTTGTTCTTTTTCTTCAACTGTTAATTTATACTTTTTATTTATTTCTAGGCCGAAATGGGGATGATCGAAAAGTTTGAAGCTTCTTTACAAGCTTTACGCGGACCCCACGTTGATATTACCATGGAAGCACAAGAAATCCAGGTATATATACCAATCATATGAGTATTACTGTTTCTCTAGGCCAGGCATACTTAATCATATATGCATTACTATTTTTCTAGGCTAATCGCTCTTCACAATTGTAGCAACCATTTTATTGATCAGAATTAATGTTTATCATGATAGGGATCTTTGGTATCGAACAACAAAACAGATACTGTACAGTTAAAAGATCTCAAGAAGAGAAGATATTGGTTTCCTTTAATGGTATATATATGATTCCATTTTCATGTTCCTCTCTTCATTTTTCCCTTTTTCTCACACGTTGTTTTGTTGATACTTGATTGTTCGAATTAGATTCTCGTTGATAAATGATAACTGAGTGCATGCACCATGCAGGTAGGTATCGGATTACTTATGCTCCAGCAACTTTCTGGTATCAATGGTGTTTTCTTCTATTCTAGTAAGATATTTTCAAGTGCAGGTAATTAATCAAATTTTTTGTGTTAATTAATTATGATTTTTTATGTCATGTCACGTTCTTGTAAGTTACTTATGATAATTTTTTTTTCTCTTAACAATTAATAGTGAGCAATAACTCATCTGAGTTAAACGTTTTATGTCTTTTGTGTGTTGAATTGTCGCGGTATAATTAGGGATTTCATCGAGCGATGCTGCTACATTTGGACTTGGAGCTATTCAGGTCAGAAACTATAGAATATATATTGCCTTCAAGTGAGTGTCAAATTATGATCGTTAACTTTCTTAATGTAGGTTGCAATGACTGCAATCGCTACTTCGTTGGTTGACAGAAGTGGACGAAGGATGCTTCTAATAGTGCGTATCCAGAAATTTTTCACCATTTGATTTGAGAAAATGTTTTTTTTTTTTTCTAATAATGCAAATATTATTTTAATTTTATTTTTTCACATTATATAAAAATAGTTAGAATAATAAATATTTTCTTAAATTAAACAGTTCTTACCTTCTCAGCAATATCTATTACAACCTATATATTTATCTTCAAAAAACAAAAGAAATTGAAGAGTTTAATTATCATTAATTCTTTTGCAGGTATCCTCCTCGGTAATGACACTCAGCCTCCTCCTTGTTGCTACAGCATTCTATTTGGAGGTTAGTGTATCGCTAACCCATGAGGCCATGAACTTCGATTCAACACCAATATAGCTTAATTAGTAATGTTGATTAAAATAAATTTTTGATCCTGTAAATATTAATATTTTTTGTTATTTTATAATAAAAAGTTACTATTACTTTAGTTTCTAACATTTTAAAGAAGTTAAAAATTAGGCTATATTAAGAATTAAATCTAAACAAAATTTTTAAATGATAGGAAATAATTTTTTGCTCTTTTAAAATGTTATAGACTAAACTAACATTTTTTTATTAAAATTAATTTTAAAAAATATAAATTTATAGGGATCAAAAATTTGTTTAAACTTAATGATGTCTGTATTAAATGGCGTTGTTACGTTGAATCCAGGGAGTGGTGAGAAATGATTCTCACCTTCACGAAATATTGGCACTGCTCTCTGTTATGGGGCTTGTGGTATGATTTTATTAATTTGGCATGTTTCTTTATTTGCGTGATGCAAGTTTTTAGTAATTTTTTAATTTGACTAACTGTTTCTGTTTAGGCTTTGGTCATTGGATTTTCTCTGGGCATTGGACCAGTCCCTTGGATTATAATGTCTGAGGTATGCAGATATACCTACTTCCAATTACAGAATTTAAGTTAATTTGCCTTCGATCTTGTTTTCTTAATGATCAATTGCAGTATCATGTTATTAGAGAGATGTACAGAATGTTAAGTTACAACATAACCCTAACAGAAAATAAAACAAAATTAAAAGGACAAAATCCAGATCCTTTTACATATATGTCTCATGAATGGTCCTGTAGATTTTCTGCAACTACTGTATCAACATTTTTGTATCTCTGTTTCTACTTTCTACAACCGAGTTACATGAATCAATGACTGAAAATGTATACAACACACAGTACTATGCAAGTTAAACTGGAGTTAATAATTTTAGTTTTTTACAAAATCAATGATCTCTTCAGAAACAGGCCATATGTCAATCTCTGTATCACATTTTATCCTTCACCTATAAACCACAATTTAATTTTTATTATTGGAATGGTTGCACCAAAATTTAAACTTAAAAATCCTCACAACTGCTTAGGAACTCTCAACACTTACCCAAATAAGTACGATGGCTTAAAGCTATATTAAATTTTAGGACAAAATTTAATTTAATTTGCTTATGATTTCACAAATAAAATAATGACCTGTAAGATTTTTAAAATTAAGTAACATATCTTTTGTCGAAACTATTTACTGTTAGAAAACAAATGTTTGTGTATTATTATTTATTAAAGAATTTTACAAAGCAGGTATAAATTTTGTGATAAATTTTGATGATCGTTTCATACTCAAAGGATATATACATATCCCCCATAGAAAAAAAAATATTTATATATATAAAAGTAAATAAAATATAAAAATTGGGATACAAAAGGGATAAAATTTAAGTGTTTTCACTGTTATTTTTAATTAAAATTAGACTTTACTTTTATAACACTTTCCAATCTTTATTGTATACATCATTTAAATAGAGATTTGATTTTTAATTAAATTTAAAAATGCTTTATAATACTGCATTTAAGTAAATTTTGTATGTGGATGCAACTGCATGTGGATGAAATAGAGGTGCTAATGATCATGTGCTTTTCAGATACTTCCACCAAATATTAAAGGTCTTGCTGGCAGCGTAGCTACCTTTTTTAATTGGTCCATTGCCTCAGTAGTCACCATGACTGCAAACTTGCTTTTAAACTGGAGCAGTGCAGGTCCTCTCTCTCTCTCTCTCATTATTCGGTTGCATGCATGCATATGAAATTATGAATTACTTAAAGTCTGGCTGTGAACAGGAACATTCACAATTTATGCTATTTTTTCCGCCTTCACTGTTGGCTTTGCGGTGCTTTGGGTTCCCGAGACCAAGGATAGAACATTGGAAGAAATTCAGGCATCGTTTATTAGATGATTATTTTGTTCATTGTTATATTTGAGCAAACATGAAGTAGGTTTGGCCACATACGTATCCAATTTTAGTTTCGATGTTGTTATTGGTAGTTTTTCCATTCTTAGTACTGCTTATATATGTATTTTTTAGCCTTTCCAAGATTGTGTTAGCTAAATACCATTACGTAGGAGAATTTTAAAAATTTTGGGTTTAGGATCTGTTTGTAAACCTCCATTTAATAGAAGTTAAAATTTTTTATTTTATCAAAACTTGGTTTTGGGTTCCTTGAAATGCAAAATGGAATTTCAATATCCTCTGCAAGGAGTAATTCAAGGGATTTCCAGACCACCTTAAAGCATACGGTACTAAGGCTTAATCCTTGTTAATTATATCTTAAATTAGGAGGTGTATAATAATCATTAAGCCTTGTTAAGTATGAATTATATCTTAAATAAATTTTTAAAGAACATATAATTTAAAATTTTTGTTAACTTTCAATTTGAATGTAAGATATAATTTATACTTCACAATTAGATTTAATGATTGTTATATTTCTAACAAAAACCAATAACGTTTTTTGGGAATAATTATAATAAAATTTTAGTATATTTTCACTAGGTAATGTTTAAAAATTAATGATTGTATGGATTTGAATTGTTATCATACCTGATTTTATATAATAGAAATAACTTTGAAATGATTTATCAAATATATGTTTTATATTACTTAAAAACATTCAAGTAATTATTTTTCTAAGAACCTAAATATCTTTAATTTAAGTCGGACATGGGAGATTTAGTTTAATACCACTTTGTAATCATAAGGTTTTAATATTATTATTTTATTTAAAAACATTATAATTTTTTTATATAAAAAATCATTTTAGTCTTTAAATTTATATATATATATATATATATATATATATATATATACACACACATAATATTTTAGCTTTTATTAAGAACTGAAAATATAGGATTAATAGAATTTTTAGAAACTAAAAATAAATAATCTTTTTATAGAAATTAAAACTAAGACTGTTATATTTTTATAAATTTAAAACTTATTTAACCCTAATTTTATATCTTTACTGTTCAACTTGTACTATCAAGCAGAAAAAACAAAATCATTTTTACACTGTCTAGCATTTAAAATGAATAGAAAGTACAGTCATTTTACATTTTGAGCTGACATTTTCTCCGTTCAATATGTTCTGAATAGCTCTCCGGTAAAAGTAGCATCCGATAAAGGATAGCAAGGAGGCCTTTACTAGTAGTAGTTAATGCTTCACACGATGTTTTAGAATTAGATTGGCAATTAAATTAAAATAGCCACTAATTTACAGTTTATTAATTTAATTATTGTTAACTTAATAATAATTAAATAAATAATTTTAATATTATATAATATGTTTATTAATAAATTAAAGTAATGTTTTAAAAAATTTACAATATACAATTAAATAATAAAAATTTGTACATAAATAATATATGAATATTTATTCATTTAAAAAAATTATATTTATTTTTTAAATAGACTGGCTTAACTAGTTTTATTTTTAAAGTCAGTTCTTGTCCAGTTTCCCTACTTTTTAATCTCTCGATTTCATGGATTGTTCGAAACTTGTTATTAATCCTACTGGTTGATCTCACCGGTTCAATTTGATTTACGAATATCTTTTACAAAACCTAAGTTTAGTATGTTATGTTTTTTTGTTTCATGTTTAATTAAAAATAGATTTTTATTTTACTAATTAGTGCTAACTTTTAATAAAAAGTTATACCGTGCATATTATTGGTGTGAAATACTAATTTTAATTAACGAATAACAAGACAATTACCTTAAAAATTGCACCTAGTTTTTTTTAAAATTAATCATAACATTGATTTAATAATAAACTATGAACGGATTCATTGCATTTAATTTCCAAACAAAAGAAAATTAGTATATTAAATTCTCAAATAAAAAGGTCGTTGCGAATTTTTCTTTTGTCAGATTTGCACAAACTATAAAAAAAAAATTAGAAATAAAGAAAAAGAAAGAAGGAAAAATATTTACACAATCGAAATGGTCATCTTATGAAAAGTAGTAATACAATGGATATTAAAGACAATATCTTCAATGCCATCTTCATCTTAATTTTAATTAGAATCTGAATTCTGAACGCATAATAGAGTTGGAAGGTGTAATATAATTGGATTATTTTTTGGCTTCATTTAATGCCAAGAAGGAAGCAATAAATTGCTTGAGGCATCGATTGTAGACACAGGGTCGCTCCAGGTGAACCAGGTGCCCTGCTTTCTTTATGCCTTGAAAGGTTGTGCCATCTCCCAGTTCCCTGTCATTATTCAATAAGACATGTTACTATTCAATACGTACAGTTACTCTCATCAACTCTCTAATAGAGAAGGGTTCTATCCATATGGTATCATCTGACTGGGGCATATCATGGTCTAATACAAGTGATTTTGCTATTGGGTGTGTGTATTTATATATCTACAGAGCCTTACTCTTTCATATTTTGTGCAAGCTCCAATTTGAAAATTTGATCATTCTCGCCCCATAGAAGGTGTATTCTCTGCAAACAGATAATGAGTAATTCTTACAATTAATGAAAACATTAAGGTTAACGAAAGAATATAAGTTTAGCACTTGGAACGGTGTAAATTATTATACCTGAGGAAAATTTGGGATGGTGATATCGCTGTTGCTAATTACTAAACCATCCAATAGCTCACTTCGCTCCTTCCTGTTTGTAAACATCACCTATAATTCCTCAAAGGAAAACCATACTTAGCAAAATTTCTTAAAACTTACCTTTCAAATTACTTAAAGCTATTTTGACAAATTTCTTACTAATCGTCTATCCTTAGGCAGAAAGTGTTTATATTACTTAATTGTTTTCAATATGGTTTTTACCCATTTAAAATAAAAATAAATTATTCTTAGAGGGTAGTCTTAATTTAAAAAAGATGTCTAAAAGTTGGTCTAATTCACTCATATATAATAAACCGAAGTATTTATATTCGAATTTGTGAAATTTTAAGAATTATTTTTTATTAAATCGCATGTTCTTTCAAATGCTCTTATCTAAATTTATATAATCAAAATTTAAATTTATAATTTTAATATATTATATTAAATTAATAAACATAAAGGCGTTGCGTTGCGTATTAACTCAAATAATTTAACAGAAAAAATATTAAACATGAATATTTAAATTATAATATGTATATATTAGCATTATTATTTATTAATATGAAATTTCATATTATTAACATAAACGGGTAATGTTTGTACCCAGTAGTGGTTACCATAACGCTAAACAAACAATGTATGAAATCTTTTTGAAGTTGGTTATCGAGAGTCAACATAACGAAGGACATCCCAAAATATTGTTCAGGTCAAACCAATAGACTCAATTAATGACCATCAAAATCCTTATCTTCAAACTTTTCGAAGCTATTACTTATTAGGTGAAGGTAGTTGAACTAAGCCACATTCTGCCAATGCCATTCATCTGTCTCCACACTAACATGTTTATTTATGTTTCCTTTACTTTATATACTTATCTTATACACACACACACACACACACCTAATGGAATTTAGTTCTCTCAAATCAACTTGAAACACCCGGCTCTCTCTTCCTTAAAATAAAGATATTAGAATGTCCAACAATTATCGAGTCCCTTTTATCTATATATTTTAATCTTGTATATTGAACCAATCGAGACTTTTGGCTAATTTTCCACACCATAAAAACTCGAAAATCTCCAAACAGAAAAAACACACTCGATTAGTTGCAAATCCAATAACGCGATGCGTTATTATATGCGTAAACTAAAGACAGAATTGAATTCTCACCTATTGTATGGTAAGACAATTTCTTCATAAATTGTCCACAAAAACTGCGTAGTTTCATGTGATTAACCAAATAACAAATAATAAAATGTAATTATTGTTTGACAGAAAACATGCGAAGGTATAATTATACAGTTTTAAAATCATGATTCGTTTTTTTAAGAATTTCTCATATATCCATTATAAACTTATTACACACTTGACAGTTACGGGTAACCAAACCTAATATAGAAAAAGGCACAAGACAAAACAAAATGATATATATAAAAAAAAAAAGCAAGAATTAAAGAAAGGCATGGGTACAACGCAACCAAGATAGAAAGACCTACCTAATTACTAATGTCATCATGGCATGCATTAACAGGGTACGATAGATTCAAATACTTCTCAAAACATAAAAAAGGAAAACAAAAAATAGATGAAGGCACATATGAAAAGAGGAGCATTTGAATATGTAACCATACCTCAAGAAAGTCCTTATGCAAACGATGAGGGAACCAGAGTTTTTTATGAGTAGCGACGGACAAAAGGGCTTTAAGACCCTTAACGGACGTAGGCAATAAGAGCTGAGAAGAAGAAGAAAATCCAAGTTCCTGAATTGACGCGGCGGTGATGGAATCGGTCATTGCCCAAACGGAGCCAGAAATGACCATAGCTTGAACCAACTCAGGGTACAACTCAGCCATCTTAAACGCCACCATCCCACCATAGCTAAAACCAACCGCTATGCACTTCTCCACCCCAAGCTTCCTTAACCCCGTTGCCAAACACTCCGCTTGAAACCTCGGTGACCTCTCTGCTTTCTCCGTTACGGAACCTCCGAAGAACAGAAGATCCGGAACATAAACCGAGTATTTTTTTGTCAAAGCTCCAACTTGGAACTGCCACGTCACTATTCCTTCCGCCGCAAATCCGTGGATTAGGACCACCGTGGGCTTGCTCGGCCCCGAAACGATTTTGGGCTTCTCGTCCTTTTTATTTGGCTTTGTTATGGTCTCTGAAGGGACCCAGAAACTCATCACTGTTCCGGGCTCTATCTCCACCGTGTAGGGCCTTATACCCGCCATCTTCATTAGCCCATGTAACAATGGTCTTTGTGCTTTCACCAGGTTCACCATGATCTCTCTCTCTCTCTCTCTGTGTGTGTGTGTGTGTGTGTGATCACTCTCTTCTGTGCTCAAGGTTTAGCAATGAAGTTGAGGAGCATGGGAAAAGGGTTTTATACGAAGAGGTTAACTTTGATTAGTGAGGTTTGGTGTTGGGTTGTTATCAGTTGTCATAGAGGGGAAATGTATTTATGGAGAACATATTTCAACGACTGTCGCAAGTGGCAGCTAATTGTTGGTCACTATACCGCATTTAAATTAACACATTGAATCCGTCACACTATGATCCAACACTAAAAATAGTTTGGTTTTGGACTCTTTTATTAGAGCTATATTTATCCCAGTCCAATACGTTACATATAAGATTCGAAATCAAAATTATATTTTTAGAAAAAAAAAACAAATCAAAGACCACCCATAAAACAATAATTAATCACGGTAAAATTGGACTGCAATTCTAAGCATATCTTATCAAAGGAGTTCAGATCATTAATTATTACTTTTTCTGTGAGGGTTAATTTTATAACATTACATGAAAATATTATTGCTTAAAGAAATAAATAAAAAAAACTGTGAGCCCACCATGTGATCAAATTAATAAAATCTAATCAAAGGATTTGTTCAGTTTTCTTGCACGCAATTTGATCATCTATATGAGTGGTTGAGTTTTGGAATATTATTATACGTGAACGTTGGCTTACCATTGTAATCTAATTGAGTCACCACGTACAACGTTGTTTAGATTTGATCAACCACAACGCCTAAAATCCTGAAGCGTTCAGCTTTTGTGGACCCTTTGTCCATCGTTGCGGGTGAGAAATTATTTGTGGACTTGAAAGCATGCTCTTTATCTTTCAAATTGGCTATGATGTGTAGCGTTGAATGTCATTACCCATGCCCAGTTGTATACCGTACGTGCCGATATGATCGCAAATGACAAGCCTTCAATTATATGCATAAGATAGAGGTTGTAGTAGAAAAGAAAGTCCGAAATGACTAATTTGGATCACATTTTCTTACATGTGAAGATATCACCGCCTCTCGTTTGGATCAACCGGTTATTCTAACTTTAATTAGTACACGCACGATGTTCTTACTCAATTTCAGAAGAATTATATTTTATATAAGGTATACGTAGTCTAATTTAAAAAATAAAATACTATATCTTCTTTTTAATGATATAAAGCATTATTTTATATAGCCGTTTTTAACTTTATGTAAATTTTAAAAATAAAATATACAAAAAACTATTACTATTATTATCATTATTATAATTGTTGGTTAAATATAAAACTATTTAGGTTATTTTTTCAATGTACGAGTTCTTTATATTTAATATTAAAATATAAAATAATATCTAATAAATACGTATACATTTGAAATATTATAATTGGAAGCATTTAAAACTATTTACAATAATAAAAAATTTATAACAATTATCCAAATCATCAACAATTTGTATTTAAATTTAATTGTTTCAATTACATTAATCAACCAGTAATTTTTTCGTACCGGGTATTATTAAATTAATTTTTTTATTAAATAACTAAAGATATATTATATGACTATTTTTTAATTTAATAAAATTTAGAAAGGATTAAAATTATAATTATTAATAGTAAATATTCTATTATATTAAATATAATTCAAAATATATGATAAAAATTAAAATTTAAACAATCATTAAATTAAAAAATAAATACATAATTTTAAAAAATATTTACCCACGATAAAAAAAAAAACTAATATCTAAAAATATTCTCTACTCTTAAAAATGTTATCGTTCAAGAATTAGTAGTTAAAAATTATATATAAAGATTGATAATACTTAATTAAAAACACTTATTCAATTTAACATTTAAATAGATATAAATATTTAATCTAAAAAAACACTTAGAATGATAAAAAAAAAATTTGAGAGTTCTTATTTGATAAAATATGTAAAAATATTCTTGTTTAAAAACTAATACTCACCAATTATATGTTGAAGTTAATAAATCAAAGAATAATTATTTTCTCTATGAAAGGAACTACTTGGAATAATGAAAAACATAACTAATTAACCCATAAAACTGTTCTTATTTGAAATGATAAGAAGAAAAAAAAAAGATTTCAACTTTTCCTAAATAAAGGTACGAAACTATAAATAACTTTTCTTCGTGAAATATCTCAAAGATGGATTGCAACACAAATAGGAGTTTGGTACCAATATTATATTTATTCTTTGAACCTTTTTATGTTTATTCACTACAAGAATACAATATTGTACTTACAATTAATTTTGTGGGGGATTTAAACCCTCAATAATGCCATTACCTGCAATTGACAATTGTGTGAGAAATTCAAGCATTACAAGGGACTCAGGTCCAGCAGGAACTGCATCATGCATTTAGATAAAATTTTACATTTTTGTTTAAGCAAAAATACATGCACTAAATCTATATTTCATGACAAGTAGATTACTCGTAATTTCAAATAAGCGCAAGTAAATTTAATATTTAGTTGATACCTACGACTTTAAAACTTCCGGCGATGTATCTCATAATTTAAAAATTTATGTATATTTCTTATAATTATACATAATTTTGAACCAACTCTCATTAATTTGTATTTAATATGTGTGATTTAAACCATGATTAACCTTTTTTTTTATAATTAATAATATAATTCTACCCCTTCTATTTTAAAACAAACATATTATAATTAATATATTTTTAAGTCAACTAACAAATCTAGAATGTTAATCCAATTAGAAGTTAAGTTATGTATCACCATAAAAATAAGATAAGAAAAATTAGAAATGTGAAAAGAGTTTTGCAAGACTAGAAAAACAACGAAGGAGTTGAGTGATGCCAAAAATAGTCACTATCAGAATTTTGTTGATTTTTTGTGGATTTTTTCTTTTTGCAAATATTTTTTACATTAATGTGCTATATAATTTATTTTTCAAATTTTGAAAAACTATGATGATTTCTTAGGGATATAAATTTACAAGAAAATTCACCAAAAATAGTTAATTTTTTGTGAATATTTTTACAAATTTAAACCACAAGCTTTTGAGATTTTCTACAAATTTATATAAGAAATTTTTGCAGAAAATCCCCGGAAATGTTTATAGGTTTTGCAAAATTTTTTTCAAATTTGAATCTGAAGCAAGTTATGTGATTTCTTACATATTTTTTATGAAATTATTTGCAAGAAAATTTTGTAAGAAAAACTCTAGAAAATATTTTATTTTTCGTCCAAATTTAAATTTGCAATATATAACGTTTTGAGATTTTCAACACATTGCATGTGTTGGAACCTTGGGCCACGTCTTCATTTTCTTTTAATGTACTTTCTTTGCTTTTTTTTTTTTAACAAAGCCTAATGACATCGCATTTACATGTAGTATGATGTTAATTTATTATTGTTTCTTATATACTAATATTATGTTTAATTTGAATAAGTACTATGAGTCACTCGGTTCCAATTACATGAAACTTAAGATAAAAAAATTAGTTTAAAAAATTAGGGATTAGAAATTAGTTTTGAAATATGGGTATTTTTATTTAACAATATATGCAATATATGCATGTGAGAAGCATATGAAGAGTTATTAGTCAGATTAAATGTTTTAACAACGGAAAAACTTCTTTCATAATTTGGTAGGTACATGAGATTACATTGCACAATTTTAAAATTTAAGATCTAAATTGCACAGGACCAAAATTAAATGAGATAAAATATATTTTCTCTCTTTCTAGAATGAGGGTGTATTTATACAACGAAATTATGCAAATAAAAAGTAAATGAGTGTTAATATATAAATTAGATATCTTAGTAATAAAAAGATTTATTCACACAATTTAAAAACTCAAAATTTAAATAACATGTGATCAAATTAAAGTGAAGATTAATATTTATTTATACACATACTTGAGTTGGATGGTATTGAAGTTCGGTTTTAAATCAATTTTTACATATATACTTGTAATTTTTACCTACAAATTTACCTGCAGATGAGAAACTTGGGGAATTTTTTATCCAAAAAACAATCTGCATGAAAATTAGCTACAAAATATTTCCCATAAAAAATATAGAATATTTAGAAGTAGCATTTTTGTTGCAAAAAAATAAATAAATTCTAGCAGATCTAAGAATTCATAGAAAAAATAATCTACAAAAGTTTTCCTATGAATTTGAATTTGCAAGAAAATCCGTTAAAACACGTTTTTCTGCAAAATTTCAACAATTTTTTGCATAATAATATGCAGAGAAAAAGTAAAATTCTAGTAGTGAAAAATTCTCTCAATTTAAAAGAACTTAAAAAATGAGTTATGAGAAATTTTGAAAACTCCTCTTTCCATTTAAAAATTGCTAAATAAATTTTTTCATAAAATAAATCTTATTCTTTCTTGCTCATCTCTTAAATTTAATAATTAAAAAATTAAAACATTATAAAATAATATCTTCTCATTAAAAACTGAGTTAGATTACGTTAAAATTACAGCAGAATGCATATTTATTATATTTTTTAACATAAACTTTCAAAAGAAATTCCTTAACCATTGTCTGCTTAACATTAGCCAAAACAAATAACTCTTATACTGTTAGTAATGATAGTAAAGGATTACACTCCCAATTTGTATGAATTCACCTTCTTACCGATTTATAATGAAAACTCCTCCTTTAAAGGATACATTTAGAAAAATTGATAACACATTGTTACAGGTTGACTAATTTAAATTTTAGTAAAACTAATTTTAATCACATATGGTACATTAAAAGGTATTTTTTTAGAACTCCTTTAATTATAAATTAAGTACTGCTTTAAAATTTAACAAAAGAGCCTTACTAACTAATATTCTTAGGATATTAAAAAATCAATAAATATTTTTTATTAAAAAATGGTGTTAAATTACATAAAAAAATATGAAAGTAAATATCATATATTTTTATGTTTTTATCATCATTATTTATTTTTATGTCTTAACCTGTGGCTTAGTCATAATGTTAGCATTTTATTTTAA